CTAAAAATGAGGAGGTAGCAAAAATTTAAGTTTCAATAAAAATAAGTCTCGGTTGTATAGGAAGGAAGTGCGAGGCTCATATTTTTCACAAATATTAGTTTAGCGGACAACGTGTTAAAAGTATCGTTCCTGTCATCCTTGAGAAATAAAATACTCGATTTAAAAATCCTCAGTCCACTTCTGGACCGTTCAGGGTTAATCCTGATTAGCCGAGCTCCGTTTTTCCTCGCAGCAATTGACCATCGGGGAGCGTTTCCCTTTTACCCTTCGACAGGCATTAGTCGCAGCAAAGATACGCCTAGCCCGATACACCGTGACGACGCCCATGGGTACTACTGCGCTCTGCCATTAGAATATCTCAGCCACTCGAACCATTCGTCTGTTTACCGTGGCCTGATAAACCCTCGATCCCCCCAGTTCCAACGCGGTGGTCCTTGCGCGACGCAAGACGGAATCTCTCGCGCATCTTCGAGTGGACAGGGAAGAGAGGTGCTCGACGGGAAGGTAAGAATCGCGGGAGAGGGTGGAGGGCCTCTTCAATCGTCGGATACACCCTCCTCCCTCGATCGAAGGTTAAATAAGTAATTCTTGTCAATTTTATTAGGCGGTTCTCCCCCCACCCCCCCTACCCCACCCCACCGCACCCTGGAAGCCCAAGCCCCCTTTAAAGAACGCGAAGGACCGAGGTTCGTGGTTCGTCGAGGGGATGAAGGGGAAGGCAAAGCGGGAAATAAAGAGGGAGTAAAATCGTCTGGATATCGATACCTATTAAACTAATGAATTTAATCAGACTGGATTGAAAATGCGATGGCTCGAGACGGCCGTCATCCCCGTCCCTACGAGGAGGGGTGGTGTGGGTTTTTATCTTACGGACACTCGGAACGAGCGTCGGAGATTAGATTTCTAAATTGGAAACGATGTCGCCCTCGCAGACACGGTCGTATTTCTGATGGTTGGTTGCCGCGGTGCCCGAATCCACGGAATTAGCATATCTCCGAGAAAGTGATCCCCCGCCTATAATTGAATTATTCTTAAATTCCCATAAAATCGCGTAAAAATTACCCCCGGGTCGCGCGTTCACCACCCCTGGCACGATATTGGACGCGATTAATTTTCTGGAACGTTACGCGAACTTGGACGAATTCCGACTGGTATCTCGATCAGCCTTCGCTAGGGGGGCTGATTCTTTAATTGGAGGGGTTCTCGATTATCCGCGGGGCGGTTTCTTAGATTGCTATCTCGTTTAAAAGCCCTTCGTTTTTTTTTCCACAAGACACCATGGAACTTGATCGTTCCTGGCACATTCTAAGATATCGGAGGCTTTAATTGTCCTTTATGATCGATAATTCGTGCTTCCACCAATATATTAAGTCGTTGACATTAAATTTGTGTATTTTTAATAAAGAGTTCGCCGAAAAGGGGCTTGAATATTTTGTCATTAAAAATTAGAATCGCAATGCCTTTGCAAATTTTTAGAACAATCCTTCACATAGAGAACAAAGCCATAAGAGTATTAAAAATATTCGGTAAATTTCATACGGACGTTAATCGTAAATATTCCTAAACCCGCGAATTCCGCGTGCAGCAGTCGATGAGCGTTCGCTCAGGTACTGGCTATCAATTAAAATCATCCCCCTCGGAGCATCTGAGAAACAAAATTAAATTTTGCCGCGCGGAAAGTTGCAGCGACGCCCTTAAAACAAGCAAAATTTTCTCGCGTCGAGGCGAGTAAATCAACCCCGAAAAACTAACCCCCCGTCCATGCTCGATTTTAACAAACATCTCGAAAAACTTCCCCGCCATCGCGGAAACTCCGCGAGGCCACGATAATCGAAGTCGGGACACTCGAAGGGGTGGCTCCAATCAGCGGCACACGAGATACGCGTTTCCACTAGCATCCATCCACTTAAAACTAACTGCACACCGGGGAACGCTGCTCACCAAAGGCACTCGACGTCCCTATGATAATTTTAATTTTAATTTCGATCGGGATCCCTCGTACACCCCAGTTTTACCCCAAGCCGGAGAAGTTAAGGAGCCGATCTAAAAACGTAATCCTGCCTCCGCGCGAGGAGCTCGTCTACCCTTTTCGCTCTCGCGCTCCTCGCCTCCTTCGTCACGAACACTGTCTATTTTGCTTAACTAGTTTTGCGACCCTCTTCCGCCCCTGCGAGCCGCGATACACGCGCCAATCGAATCGCGGATACATTAGCGTTTGGGAGACGAATTAATTTCGTTAGCCATCGAACCAAGAATTCCAGCCGCGGTTTGCTTGCTTCTATCGACCCTCGTCGATCCTCGCTCGGCACGGGGCTTATCAGATGCTGATAATTTTAGCCCTCGACCATTTTTCTAATCGTGTTTAACTCGTTCATCGCCGCGTCACTCAAGCATAAAGCTTAAGGAACTGACAGAATTAATTCTAAAGGCGAGTGATACGTACTTCTCTGTCGATAATGAATTATTACTGCTGCAAATACCTTTGGGTGAGAAATTTATCTGGAATCTACCTGTATATTAGGCTCTCATAGCTTACCTGAAACATAAAAGAAAAATGGAGTTAGCAACGAAAATAATACACTTCCTGTTTCGAACAAATTTTTCTCCTCAAAAAATGTTATATGTCTAAATAATGTTCTCAACCCTTTTAATCATGACTTCATATTGATCGACGAGCGCTCGAAGGAAAGCAATTTTTTTATTTTTATTTGGTATAGAGTACGATTTTTTTTTTTTATATTGTGCATACAAACCATCAATCGATCACCGCGGTCGACCTATAAATGTGCATTCGAGTCGCGGCAAGGGAGACCGCCTCGAGTTTCGCGGACGTCTGTCGCCGTAATGATGCTATATAGATTTTTCGCGATACGTACCATGACGTGGCCAATCGTACGAACGCTTATGTTTATTTCATTGGCCGGTCATGTCTATCAGCCACCTGGAATTTCTTAGCGTTCTGGAAATACTTGCGCGATTCCACTTCGGATTCAAAGAATTCTCGTTGACGTAGCTTGTTTACTCGTTTGTTATTAGGTTTGTCAAAAAGTTCTTCGAGTTTACTAATTTCAGTTCGACTGTTTGTTGTTTATGTGAAACGAATTATAATTTAATTCTTTTGTAATAGTACACTATAAAATTAAACATACATGTTTCGATATCTCTCAAGAGATTGACGTCGCTTGACAGCGATCACTTGAATTTAGTTTTCAACTACAAATTTGTAAAATTGATTTCTCCGATTTTCTCCAAATGTAAGTTAACGAGAAGCTGTTGAAACAGGATTATCCTAAAGGGATTTTCATTGAAATTTTGAGAGAAAGAAATTAAAAGAAATTCCTGGGGAATTAGATAAAAATGCCGTACGTGACCTATGATGGACTTTCAATACGTGGGACTTCAATTACGATCGATAGATATCTGGTGGTAGTTACAAACTTATGAAACTACTGGAGCACTCGTAATTTATTTAATGGCCTAGGTCGTTTACTGTTAGAAAAGTAGACGTACGTGTGTATATGTATATTCTGGTAATTGAATCGAATGTACCTGTGCAACGGAATGTCCCGATTCTGCACCAGGTTGTGACCACTTCAAAGTGAATACATATATATATTGTTTCGATTTGAATAAAATCGAAGGAACAATAAAGAAACTGTGGCAATGGAAATGAACAAATAAACGCGATGCCACTTTCCACCGTTCGATAGTCTTTACATGCACGATAATCGATATAAAGTTTCGTGAAATTCATTTTTTACTCGTACGTGTCAATAGAGCGTGTAAATTAAAAGTGCCAGGCACACCGAAGCCCATCGAATGCAGCAATTAACCGAATAGGTGGTTAATATTTGAAAAAGTTATTCTGATACTACTTCAACCGCAGTAGAATCCCCGTTACGTGAACATACATTCTACGATGTGAACGTTCCGTTGTCTGAATATGTTTACACGTAAACATACAAGTGTTAAGGTATTTCCTTCCGCGGAATGAAATCTATTATAAGTCAACGACACCTTGGGTGTCTGCGCTGAATGGCTCGAGTGCACGTATACAAGGTATCCCAGCTAGCATGACCGCCTGACATAACTCACTCGTCCCTGACGATGGGAAATAATGCCACTGAGAAGCATTATTTATTCGAAAGAGTCATTATAGGCTGTTTTAAAAACATTTCCTATTACGATACTATTTCCACGTAAAGACACAAGCGTTTACTATCAACCACGGAATGAAATCTATTATAAGCGAATGACACCCTGAGTGTCTGCTCCGAATGGCCCCGAAGGGGGTTGATACGATTGATCTAAGGCCATCGAGAGGAGCCGAAGAAGCGGAAGAAGAAGGGAGGAAGACGGTTTGCACGCGAACAGAACGGACGGAGGAATGAGAAATCTTTTAGGCTCTAATTGCCGTAATTAAATCCAAGAACTTACCCGATTCTCTGGTCGAGATCTCGATTCGCCGCGTCCCCTCGAATTATTCTCAGCCACCCCGCGTAGCCCTCTTGCCGTGCAATCCCTTTTCGGGGCGTCGTGCATTTAACTCGAGTTTCGTCGCCGTTTCACTGATATTTTTAGCAGGCTTTCGAACTTACTTCCAGCGCTAAGGGTTTCGGGAAGGGCACCGACCAAGCCGCCCCCCCGTCGCCCTTCAACCCCGCGACGAACTAGATTTCAAAGTCGCGCATTCGAGGCCCACGAGGCCGCCGCGCCTCGACGTTTCGAAGCTTTCAGCATCGCGAATCGATCTCTCCGAGACCTCCGAAGGGCGGCCATCCATTTGGACAAAAATGCCGAGTCGAGTTTCGCAAGTTTCGACGCTAGAAATACCACTACTACCGTTTACGATATCTATTTATCGATCTATACCGGAGTCAAGAATGGAAAACTATACTCGAAGCTACGTTGCGAATTCTCACAAACTCGTAGTTTCCAGGGTTCACTTCCGGTGTTTCGATCGTAACGAAGAGAGGGTGATCATCTTTTTTTCCTTTCAGATGGTAAGACTCGACGTCGACGTCGAATTTTCACGTTCGTCGAAGGTGACGTCGGTTATCCTCGACGAACTTCCACTTTTGCACACTCGATCGCGATCGTATCGACGACGAGAGAATCCTGGATGCGGGGAATCGATGCAGGAACTGGATAATCGACTTGTCACGCACGCGGACGATTTGGAAGTGAGCAGGGGCTATTCGTGGGCCACGCTCGTCGTGGAACCTTTCCATCCTTGCTGCAGGCGTCGAGGAGCACAGTAAGCTGTTTCACGAGATCGAACGGTGCCGCACGATTAGCCGAAATGTATAAACTTATTTATTTCGAGGCAGATAACCCCAGCTTCCCGCAACAGCCGAGGTGCCCATTGGCGCCGAAGTTCTTCGAACCGATAAGGGGCACAGGTTCGTTTCTTCGATGGAACTCGTTCGGGAATCGATCTCGGACGAGATGGATTTCAAGACGTTTCCAGGGTCCGAGGTAATGCTTCGAATTATTATTTCGCAGGGTTGAGAAACTGATTTTTTAAAAATTCAGATGGAATTTGAGTCCATTCGCTCGAAGCGAAGCTACTGGCTACTGTGGGAAACAGAGGACTTCAGATAATAACAGTAGTGTTTTTTATCGAATCGTATATTACAGCGATGTGACATAATTAGTATTTTTTTTTAAGAATTCTTGAGAAAAAGAATCATTTAGGAATTATAACTCTTTGGAATTTTGGACGAGATAGTAGAATCTGTATTAATCTCACGAGATAAACATTATGATCAGATTTAATACACATAATTAATACAATTTTTTATTTCGAGAAAATAGTAATGAAATCGATTTAGTTTCTCGAAAGCTTCCCCAATTAGAGCACGGATGAAGTTACATTTAAAAAAATCTATCTTAAACGACTGGAGCTATAATTATTTTGAAATAACATCCGAATAAATAATACATATTCTTGAGGAATTTTATTTTACTAATTTTAATTAGGGTCTCAATTCAGGAGGCCTAAGAAAATGATTCATTTATGGCTAGGCGTAGTAATCGCGTCGCCCATGAAACGAGCACGTCGTTTCTCGAAACTCCCAGCGCTATGTTGCCGAGGGGTCACAGGTCATTTATTACTTCTATTCGAAAACGCGCACAAACACCATCGGAGGAAGCTGACTGATAAAGATTCCTCCTCCGTGGGTGGGAGTTGCGCGCGGGAAACCAGCGGAGATAACGATCGTATAAGCATTTAACGAGCGTAGTTATCGAATATGCTGATAGAACCATTTCGATGAACCATACCGTTTCGATCGGTCCACGCGCGGAAGTCGCAGCTGATAATTGATAAGAGCTCCTCTCGTTTCGAGCCTCGTTCGGAATATATATGTATGTGGGTCATAGTGTCGGCATAATTGCGGGCTTGTCTAATTATCCATGGAATCGTCGATAGACGTAGCGAATCATTGTCCGAAAAAATATTTGGGAATATTTATTTACGAAATTTTGGGAAACTTGGACACCCTTAAAAATAAAATCTCCTTCTAACAGTTAAGTTACCAAAATTTAAATGCAATTTGTATTAGAAGTTTCGAGTAATGAAATTCTTTTTATATTTGCAAAAAACAATTGCATTTTAGTATTCGTTAATTTTCTCAAATTTTCTCTGCTCCAAAAGCGGAGAGTCGAAGTGTACATAAATAACGGGTCAGCTCAAGACCTGCGAACCTATCATCTTCTAAAAGTTACCAAGTTCCGTTCGATGGAAAGAGACGGTACGTCGTTCCTCTATGAAATACGACCTCTTTCGCGTGCCCGTGCACGTTAAAATGGATGTCACATCCAGCGAACAAATTCGTCTTCGTATGCTCTACGAGTTCGAACTCGGTACCAACTTACTGGAAGCGATCAGGAAGATAAATATAGCATTCGCGGAGTCGACTACTTCCCGAACACACTATTCGGCTGGTTCGCGAGGGTTTCGATCGTGCGATCTTCACCTGCGAGGGAACCAGGTGACAATGCATTCCGTTGGAACTCGACGATGCGCGAGGGGCTTTAATCTGGCAACGAGGGTGGAGTTTCGTACGCGTTGTCGATCGTTTCCCTTTAAAGTTAGAGTTAGGGGTTAAAATTCATCGTTCTCTTCGATCGTTGTTGGCTAAGTGTAAATGTTATCTCGATAATAGATTACAAAATCGTGGTTATCCTAGCGTTGGTAGTTCTAGCATTCGTAGTGCTAGCATTGATAGTCCTAGCATTCGTAGTGCTAGCATTGATAGTCCTAGCATTAGTAGTGCTAGCATTAATAGTTCTAGCATTGATACTCTTAGCATCGATAGTCCTAGCATTGTTCGACCTCTCAAAAATCCTATTAATATCCCCCAAGCCGATAATGCGTCAAGGATCCAAGGCACTGATCTGTCCATCGATCTAGAGAAAGCTTCCTGAAAAGGATCCACGCGACCCGGAGGTTCCCCAGCAGGGACCAAAGGTATTTTCAGCGGTAGGCCTCTGGCCAGCTGTCCAAACTAAGAAGATTGACCCCCGTCAGTGTCTCGGGAATCCAAGTTTTCGGTGGGCGATCGCGAAGGCAACCCCTCGGAGCTGCGGTCAGCGTGAACGTTCAGAAGGTAGGGGAGGGTGATGCGATAAGCACCGGGATTGCGGCCGGGCCGATCATTGGCCGGCTCTGTGCCGCAGTCAGATCGAATCACGATCACCGATTTGCCGGATGGAAGGTGCACCGAAGGGATTTCCGGCGCAGATTGGCCCTAAGCAAATGACAAAGCACGGACACACGACCGTGAATGACTGAGGGAGTGGGTGACGAGGACGGAGGAACCGCGCAGAGGATGACGCAGAGGGAGCGAGAGAGGTGGCTGGAAGGAATGGTAATCCTAAAACGGGGTGAGATCAGAGGGTGGTTTCCTTGGCCAGCCGCAATCTGTCCGTTCGCCCAGCAAAGCTCCAAGAATCCTGCTCGACTGGCCTTTGGAGTTTAGACCCAGCCACGGTGCAACGCGCACCCCTTACGACGAAATTCGCCCCAAATCGAGCGCGATTCCTATTTATCCCTCGCTGCCTCTGCTCTAGAAAGTGGCCAGTATCTTCCACAAACGTCGACATTTGGAATCGTGTTTTCAATGACATTGTAACGAAGGAATGTAACGAAACGACCATTGGACGATGTAGTGTCACTTTCATTTCATTTCGTCTTAGGTAAAAATTACGTACAAATTTTCCTTCTTTACCCGTCCTCACCCTTTCCCCGTTTAGCTTGCTTAATTGCATCTCCCATGATACACAATTAAATAATCAACGACCACACGCGTGTCGGCATTTGTAAACATAAAAAATGATATCTATCGATGGTTCGCCACGTACAGGCAAGCGATGAAAAAAATTGCCCAGCCATTTGTACGACAAGCAATTCCCATAGCGAATAATATCGTCGCCCCGTTGAAAAGAGCGCGGCGTTCCCATAATTTCCGATAAATTGCGAAAAGTATTTCTCGGAAATTGTCGGTGTCGTGTCGGTTCGAAACGCGGCGTGACTCGATGTACGGTGTCCGGCGTGTCTTGGCATAATCGGCGTGTGTGTCATCAGAATTAACCTATTAACGCCCACCAGCGGGCGGCTCTGCCAAGAGTAATCGACTCCGCGGCGAGATTTGGACGGGACGCGAAACACCGGCATTTGTCAACCGGTTTGAAAGTCCGCTTCAACAAGTATCTTTGGAAGGGACGGAGAATTATTGCGACGCGTCTTCGGTGCTCCGTCCTGGTAATATCGGAATTGTTTACTCGAGCGATAAATCTGTAACGCCGTGTCGGAAAAACCATCCGTAGGAATTTCTACGAGGACATCGCGCGTTTGAAGATGAGCTACAGGGAACGGGATGCGCGACGTTTCGACCTGTAAGGCTGTAGTTCGGTCGGGTTTCAAAGACTCGAAACGATTTATTGGGGAGAGCTCGCGAGCCCGGAGTAAGTCAGTTTTCTGCTACTTTGCCCTTTGTTGGGATCAGATTTCTGATTGAAAACGGTTCGTTTGGTGGAATATTGCGGGAGATAAGAATACTTAGATAGAAGAATGGAAGTGGTTGGGCATTCGAAGACAAAATGAAATGAGTACAATTTTTTAGAAACGTTCTTGCTTAGATTTGATAAAGATAAGGTGAGGAGGGCACGTTCTCTGTCATGGCAAAGGGATTGACGAATATTTATTTATTTATTTATTGAGAATCAATGGGCAAACCGATTACCCAAACCCGTTTAAAAATGAGAAATTATGAGGTTGTTCACTGGTACTACTACATATTGACATAAAATCCTAAAAGAAGTTTAACACAACATAACTAACATAAAAGTAGCTCCTGAAAGATGATTATATTTGCAAGAAGGTGATACTCAAGCTCGATTTAAACGAGGTGCCATCGAAAAAGCCCACATTGTTATAGTTCTGCATTAAAGGAAGGCTTATCAGCAATCGCTATCCATTACTCTATGTCTTTTCAATCGCGTCCACCCCTACTAGCCATAAACGAGTATTCGGTGTTAACGAAGCATTCGAACCCGTGAATGTTTACCCGAAAGCTCGTCTTCGACGAGCACGAGGGCGTTCTGTAAAAAAATTCTTGCCGTCGGTCGGCGAAGCGACGAAAATACGAAAAGGGGGATGAATAGAAGCGCGGAAAACGAACCGGAGAAACAGCGGGACCGGGGGTGCAGCAGCCAGCAGCCGTCAAAAGTTGCCGAACTAATAGGACGATTTTCAGCGCGGAGCGTTTAATTAAATTAATTATATGCGCGCCTCGGTCGTAATATAAATTGTGAGCAAACGTCGCGGACGAACGCGAAAAGGAGAGTTGGGGGTTCCGGTTTGCGCGCGTGGGGGCGGAAAGGGTGGGAAAATGCCGTCAAGCTGCGATCGCCAACTTTGATAGTTACGTTTCATCCATCTATCCCAGATACGTTTTCCGCGGACTGCTTCGACGCGAACTTCGAGATCGGTACGTTGCGCCCGTGCGCATGCATGTGCAAATTTGCGTACGTGTATGTGTGCGTGCGTGTGTTGTCCGATTAAAGTTACGGTTTCGACGCTTCGGGGAGGGGAAGACAATGTCGCTTCCGGGGAGAACGTAACCTGGGGATGTTCTTACAGTTGTAGGAGCATGATTTATTTGTTTGGCGATAGATAACATGGACACACTTGATTTATTGTCTCTAGAACGTAGAAATTTGTGTTTTTATGATTAACACGTTGACTGAGAAACTGAGAATTAAATTTCTACGAGGCTAACATTTTTTTCAACACCTTATCTTCCATATTCCAAGTTTAGAAATGCATCTATGCCAAGTTGCCAAGTAATAAAACGTCAAGAGTTCACCACTCATCCGTCGAAATAAGGAGCGCGTTCGATAATCCGGCTTCGACCCGTTACCCTTCCCCGCGATCCCGAAAAAAAAGGGGTAGAAGAAATAAAATCCGAAAT